ACAGTGACCAGTGGCAGCTGCCCAGTTCCAAGCTGTCCCAGTGTGAGCCTCTCTAAGCGGTCTCGTCTAACTCCTCCAGAGACACTTTCAGGTTCCCGCTGCCCCTGTAAATATTCATCATTGCTTCAACTATTTTTGCATTCTGGGAAAATGTCACTTATGATCTCAAGCTTGCGTTTGCGTGAAACCTCCATGACAGCAGCAGTGAGAGAGAAAGAACATTTGTGACACTGCGCTGTAAGCTTGGCCAAGTGGAAAATACTTCTGCTGTCATTCTCAGTCTCACTGTGTTTTTTTTCTTTTCCACCATTCCAATGTCACAGCAGCAGTGTGAGAGATGGTTTTAACAGATGGCTTCAACTCCTCTGGGACAACCTTTAGCTAACCACTGGTACTCCTCTGTATCCTGCTATGATAGCAGGGTTCAGGAGGCAGCTGGGGGTCTCTGATACATGTGGGTTATACAGAAACACTCATGGTTATTCAAAATCATGATCAAAGTTAAAATCTTGCCTCGTTTATCTCACGACAGCTCAGAGGTTCAATGTCACTTCATAAAATGACATTTTAACTCAAACTAAATTTTGACTCAGTATCTCATAATGTTGACTCAGTCAGATTTATGACATAGTGTCATGATTTTGACATTTGAAAGCCTTTAAACGGATTCATGGGTCACAATTCGGTTGAAAAATAAAAATGCTGCCTGCTACATCAATACAATTGGTAGGCTAATTGAGGACATGATATTGTCAGCTTAGATAAGAGCTGAATGGGGGTGCAGCCATTGAACCTCTCAATGGTCAATCAAAGAATGATCACTGTTGTCCAAATGTCTTAATGATGAACTCCTCCTACCTCACCATGTGCTGAAGGCCTTTAGAAGTCGTACACAACCAACACTCGGGGTTCTTCCTCCTTCAGACCGCATTGCATTCTGTATGATGATTGAACCTTCTCTGCGCAGAGAACAAAGACTTTAAAGACAAACTTCTTTTCCCAATGTTTCTTAATTTCAGTATCAAAGGACTCACTCACTTGAATAGTTTTTTCCACCACAGTACTACTCAGCATCTTTGAAGTGGTTATGTCTCCAGTTAGTGAGCGTGAGGCAGGCAGCTGCACCATTGCTGCTTCTTTTTCCGCAATAGAATTTTGATTTTCATATCCAAATGCAATATCTTTTTTTGCGTAGAAAAAGTGATTTAAAAAAAAGATTTCTGGGAGCTATGAATCGATTCAGAATCCTAGAAGATAAGAATCTCAATTCTTAAATGAATCGATTTTTTCCTCCACCCCTGAAGAACTGGATGTGTCCTTTCTATTTAACATATGCTACTCACATACACATGAAAACAACACATTCAAGCACCACTTTTTTAAACATTTAACTGCTTCAAGTCCTGTCTTTTTATTCCACTTACTCTCAGTCAGGTTGTGTATGGATCTTTAACACTAAATACTCAAGAGCCTTGGGGAAGGCCCTTCGGCCATGGTGGTTGCTGTTCAGCATCAGTTACATCTTATTTTAATAAACTTTGAGCAAACTGACACAGTTTTAAGTCACAAAACAAACAAGCCACTTACCGGCTCGACTTTCACTGAAAGTGAGAGCTTTGTCATATTTTCTTCACCTCACGTGTGCTTGCTTGAATGGATCTGTTTTTCTTTTTAGAAGTACATCTGGTACTTAAAGCTGCAGTGATTTCCTGATTTTGACATCTTTGGGGAGTGACACAAGCACAGAGAGAAAACACACTATCAACATGTTACCAGCTTACAAAGATGATGTGCATGCTTGCAAAACATTTCAACTTCAATCCAGCAGACACAGAGCACCATTAGCGTTCATTGTGAGTAGCGTTTGTCTCCACCTGATGAATGTCAGTCCAATATCCAAAGAGAAACATCCGACTCTTTAGCTGCTAGATGCTCCTCTATGTTCACCAGCTAGTGTCTAACTGTGTGCACTGTGCTGAGCAGGTAGAGTACGTGGGTAATTCAGAGCTTTGTTCTTATAAACAGCTGTGTGCTGCGGCTGTGGGAACAAGGTTGATGGGTGCAGTTTGACCGGTTGCACAAACAAAACAATGAGCTGTAAGCTGCTAAAATGCTCCGTAGAGCTGAGGGAAACTACAGAATTGGTGAGAATTCTCTGATGGTTCATCACCATCACTATAAGATTCCCCTTTCACATTACACACATTATCAATTGTTCATTCAAAAATATGTATTAATGGAGCTTTAATAAGGAGTTCTCCTTGCTAACCTGTGCTTTATAAGTGCTCAGAGTCCTTTAACTTAAGATCTGTACACGTTTTTCTGCCCTCTGCAATGCTTCCACTATCCACAGTGTGGACTCTGAGCTGGTATCATAAAACAATAAGGTGTTCAAGACTCATGCAGAAAAGTTTCACATGGTTTTTCAAGGCTTTGTGAGATTTTACAAGCTAGACAATGTTTCAGATAGGTGTTACAGTTGGCCCTGCTTGATAATTATTGGTGGTTGAATATTTGCATTTGCATGTTTAATGTACTTCTAATGGCTATAATGGCTCTTTGCTATCAGAGCAAATGGCTCGCTGATCTCTGCCGTTTCGCTGCATAATTTTTCCATTCCCACTGATGGCCGTGGTTGGCATCCATTGTAATAGGCCGTCTGATTAGTGATTAAAATGTTTACCGGTACATGGGGAAATGGATCCAGGCAATAGGCCACCTCTGAAGCCTAAGCAGGCAGCTGGCTTCACAGAGACAAATGGCTCGACGGCTGATGTCTTTTTAACCATGTACTTAGTTGGCAAAATGGGGAATGCTGGGTAGGCAGCTAGAGGGAAATTTACTGATGCATGAAATCATACAAGCCAAGAAGATTATAGCTTTTTTCACTACCATTTATCACAGATGGGTGAATTTACAATTGCACAACAATGCTAGATTCTAGTTGGTGATGTTGGTTCTCTGGTCAAATCAAGGCAGTATTTGTGTATTCCTGGTTGCTTTGGAGGACTGGACTGACGTGCAGCTGTGTAGACTGCTCTCTGGTGATAGGGTGACATCTTCACACCTGTGTTCATATGTTTCACCACTATTAAGGAAAGGCGTCCACCCCAGTAATTCAGTGAGTGTATATGAACACAAGAAACCAGCTTACTCTGAGAAATCATTTTAAGCAGGATATCATCGTTCATAACATTTTCATGCACTGAGAGGGAAGGCTCTGTGGAAATATTTAAACAGTGTGAAATTTACAAAGATTCAAAAGCTCAATTTTGGAAAGAGGTTTATTTAGAATCTAATAAGCCTCTACTTCTATAGTCCATCTTTAAATGTATTATTTTGAAGAAAAGTTCTCCCACACTACGCTCTGCACTGGCTGCTGCTGGCTACCTGTATCTGGTACAAAATACGTGCTGTGAATGGCTCAGGCCCATCCTACATCCAGGACATGGTCAAAACATACACCCCTGCTCGCTTACTACTCCATCACTACAAAGGGGCCCCTCTACCACTCAACAAAGTCTCAACTGTTTGCTGTCCTGGCTTCACAAAGGTGGAACGAGCGCCCCATAGCATCAGGACAGCAGAAAGTCATCTGTTCAGACAACACCATGGCCCATAAAATAAAACCAACAAAAATACCTTGTTTCTTACCGTCTCTAAGTAAAGCACTTGAAGTGGATCAGCATATTTGATGACGTTGATGTATTTGCATGATTCTTGCTCTTTTTGGGTCGTACCCACATGGTTGAATGGACTTCTTGTTTGTCACTTTGGAAAAGTCACTGTAATGTAATATGATCTCTCCTTCCATCCTGCTGGCCTGCCATCATAGTGATAATAAAGTCTTTGTCATGCATCCACGTTAAAGTTGATTAGAAACCCTGTTATGTGTAAATGTGTTTCTCCAGGAGAAATCTAGTTAAGGAAATCAGGTTTCTGTACCACTTACAGAAACCTGATTTCTCCTATATGATGCTTGAAGGAATAGTTTAACATTTTGGTAAATGCACTTATTTGCTCTCTTGCCCAGAGTTAGATGAAAAGATATCTACCATCCATCATGTCTGTATGGTAAATATGAACACACACTGGAACCAAGGACCTGAACAAATCGGGTTAGCGGTACCCAGTGTGAGCACGGACGATCCTAGCATCTGACTGATAAGCAAAAAGCATTATAATCATAATAAATGAATTCATCAATAAATGATTGTTGGAGACGCTGGTATGGACAGGTCTGCTGTGCTGTGCTAGGCCCAATTGCATTAGTAGTAGATAGAGTACATAGAGTCCATGGAGGAAAAGGGATTCCTGTTAGCTGGTGATTCCATCAGTGGTGGAGGAGTCAGGCCGGGAAAGTTTGGGATCCGCTGTCAAAAGATGCAGTCCTGACTGTGCTGTGTTCCACTCTGTCCCAACAAATGCAAAACCACATGTCATTTTGGCATTTCTGTTTGTGTTTGTGTAACAGAGTTAAAAATGTACTTTATCATTTCCTATTTTTGATTTGTAATATTTTAATTTTGTTTGTCATTTAACAATTCTGTTGAGTATGTGTGAATTCTATCTTTATGAGCTGTTTTTATTTAGCATTTTATTTTGTTAATGCTTCCTGCGGAAGCGGCGTCTCACCTCTTCTGTACCTCCAAAGCCCCCGTAGTCCCGACTTCCCCTCACAGTGGTGTTTTGTACTGTTGAGGGTAAGTTGTGTGGAATAATGTTGTTGCACTGTTTTGTTGTTTTCTTCGGGAATGTAACCGTTTACGTTACGTACTTTAGTAACTGCTAAGGCGATGACATTATCTAGCTGTTACGTGCCTTTTTGACTGTGGAAAATATAAGTTTAGTGGCTGTTTCAGTTAGCCATTTTGGCGCCATTTACTTTTACATCAGGCTGCCCTGTCATATAACGTAACGACGCAGATACTTTGGCATTCCTTTGTGTGAATTCTGTTGTCTTGCATGTTTAGGAGCGGATGTATAAAGAGAGAGTGAGACCAGGAAGAAACTAATGTGGTTTATGTTGTCTTCTGCAGCGAATAAATGATGGAAAACTACCCTCCGAGTCGTCTCCTTCAATGCCATTCCAAGTCTGTTACATATGGATTACACAAACAAGGCACTGTACAGTAATCAGTAACAAAATAAAAATGCTCGTTGGCAGATAAAAAAAACAGACAAGCTATTGTCTCCCTATTGCTGCCTTATCCCCATGCTTCCAGTCTCTATGCTAAACCAAGCTAAGCTAATCGCCTCCTGGCTGAAGCTTCACATTCAGAATATAGACACTAGAGTTTTCAATCTCATCATCTCACAGAAAGCAAATCATCCTGGTTCTTAAAATGTTGAACTAGTCCTTTAAGTAATCAGATTACTGCATAGAGCAGACTCTAACTCTGTCATGTAACTGCATGTGTATACACTGACTTTTATGATGCACGAGGGCTACACAGCTGATTACACCATGTGAAACTGGAAACACATTGACTACATCAAATAAAGCAGCAGCACACATTATCAAAAAAACATAAGCCTACATTATTGTGTGATTATGTTTAACAACATAGGGCTAAATTACCATGGCAATTTAAAATCATACTACTGCCACAATTAGATAAGACTTCTGGTGATCTGTTGATGCCCTGAGTATTCAGCTCTATAAAGCTGATTTGGTCTGATCCTGGAAGCGTCTGATTCGAAAAGGTGAAAGGTCATAGGAGGGCACTTCTCCCAGGATGAGTTCACACAGGAGCTTTCCAATGATTGGTCCAAACTTGAAGCCATGACCTGGAGAAGAGAAGTCATTACAGTGAGCAAAGTACATACAATTTGCAAAAACTTCTACATTTCCGTTTTTTCTGTCAAGATGGGGTGCTGAGTGTACATTAATGAGAAATAAAATGAACTTTTTTGATTTTAGCAAATGGCTGCAATGAAACAAAGAGTGAAAAATTTAAAGGGGTCGGAATACTTTCCGTACCCACTGTACGTGGATCATCAAACCCCGCCAGATGAATCAATGTCCTAATGTGAGTAAATCCATGCCCTGCACCTTGTAGTTACCCTATAAATAGCCTGCATCTGTGGACCTTTGTCTGAGTCAGACGATGGGTTTGAGCCCCACATGAGTGCATACATAAAAGAAGAGTAAAGCTGTTGCGATGCCTGTCACTGAGCATCTATTCACTTTAGTGAACCGGGACCAAATGCTAAATTAAGGGGGATTTGTTCTTTCTCTGCGTAATGGCTTCATGTGCTCAAGCCCAGGAGTGAGATGAGAGTGTGTGTATTTTCAAAATGCAGCAGTCTGATTGTCCTTGTTGCTAAGGACTGGGAGGCAAATTGTGAATGTCAACAGGGCTTGAGGAATGCAGCACATTGCCATCTGACAAAGGTCTCGGAGCTCTTGTGGATTCTGCCTGGCTTTGAAGACATAAAAGCTTGGCTCCGACAGTTTGGCCACGTGAATTTTCATCTCGCTAGAGAAGGAGAATGGAAAACCTCAATAGATGGCCAAGCCCACGGGGTGACTTTGTAGCTATGGCAACCCCCCAGTACTTGCTTTAAAGCACTTGTGTCGGGCTTTGATGACAAATGCATGTGTCGTGAAGGAGGGCGAGGAAGGCAACGCAGTTTTTTCAGTATGTGGGAGAATCCCTGTGAACCTCTCCAGTATGGCTCTGAGCATCTTTTCTAGAGAATGAGCACAAAGAGTACAGATAATAATTAACAGTGAGTAATAAACATAATGAGCAAAAAGGATCATAAATGTCTCCGGAGACATTGAAATCTAAATATAATGCAACACTGAAGTCACGGGAGAGTTATCCTAATTACCAGTTTCCGTCTTTAATGCGGATAATGTCATCATCCAAGTCATAATTACGACTGGAAAACGTGGAGCTTAATAGTATGGTGGCATCTTTGAAAAGAAAAAGGTAACAAACATGGATGTAGAACCTCAGGGATGGAAGTAATAACTCACATTTACTCTTGTTGCTGCAACGTTGTTGTTTTGTGAACAAGTATTTTCTAACTTCAGTAATTTTATATTTTCTTACGCAAGTACTTTTTATCTCAAGTATTTTAGCTGACTATTTTTCAAGCCACACTGGTTATACTAGAGAGGACTGGTTCTAGTGGGACAGAGAGGATGAGTGGACTGGTTCTAGTGGGACAGAGAAGATTAGAGGACTGGTTCTAGTGGGACAGAGAGGATGAGTGGACTGGTTCTAGTGGGACAGAGAACATGAGTGGACTGGTTCTTGTGGGACAGAGAAGATGAGTGGACTGGTTCTAGTGGGACAGAGAGGATGAGTGGACCGGTTTTAGTGGGACAGAGAGGCTGAGTGGACCGGTTCTGGCTGAGTGGACCGGTTCTAGTGGGACAGAGAGGCTGAGTGGACCGGTTCTAGTGGGACAGAGAGGCTGAGTGGACCGGTTCTAGTGGGACAGAGAGGATGAGTGGACTGGTTCTAGTGGGACAGAGAAGATGAGTGGACTGGTTCTAGTGGGACAGAGAGGCTGGCCAACCCTCTCTACCCAATGAGCCACGGCCACCCAAAATAAGTACATCAACTAAGGATGAACGTCACAAACGTACGGAAAACATAAGTCTCCTGGTTGAAAGTCCTGTTTGTTTGACCACTCACGGTGTGTGTTTTTTTGGTCTTATACTACGTCATCACACTCTAGGAGCTGTTTCTCTGAGAATCTCAAAATGACACTGTTTACACTGTAGTTACTAAAATCCCTGGTGTGTTTTATAAGACTCTAAAGGGTTTCTTGTTCGTCTGTATCAGACGCAGAGGGACGTGACAAAGAGTCGGTATTTGACGCCCTGGAAATGAAATTACAAATGTGAAATCCTCTTTTTCTGCTATATTCCATAAAAAGTACTGTAAACAAATACTGTTCCAGAAACAGCCCGACATTGCCATCTAACCCTGAGTTAGATGAGAGGATGATATCAGTTTCATCCCTGTGCAGTAACTACAGAGGTCAGGGACATTTTGGTCTAGCTTAGCAAAAACAAAAAGGAGCAAAAACACTGCTAGCATGTCAAAACTAAAAAAAACAATATTTCTTTCAGTGAGCTTTTATATTGTACATGTTTGTCAGTTTATGAGTCAACAAGGTTTAGAGCTCAAACCTGACAGCCCCACACAGGGGAACTTTGAGATGATGCATTCAGTCACTTGTAACTGCTTGTGAAATCTCAATGCATATTACATGACTGTTTGCAGACATGAATAAAAAAAGAAAGGGTGCTTGGGTAAATAGGACAGTTTTGGAGTTGTCTCTGGTATTTGAGCAAAGTTAAGCCATTCATGTCCTGGGAATAGCTTTGTGCCGAACACATGACAGAACTGATATCTCATTTGAAGCTCCCAAAATCATGTAAACTGTATGTAAAAACCGAAGAGCATGATTAGAAGTAATGCAAAGAATGACAAATTCATGAAACTTTTTTCAAGTTGCACTATCATATCTTTTTTGACATTACGGCTCCCTTCAACATGCTAGAACACTGGCTCTCTCCTCTAGCCATTCATATACACATACGCACTGTTAAAAACCTACTGACAAAAATGACAACTTTTAATTGCCTTGGCCATGGTCGCCGAGGTACCAGTAACCTGATGTGTTCAGGTCCTATGCCCTGACCAATGGGCTGTCCTGACCCTTACTACTCAAGGTTAATGCCAAACCTCAACCAACCGTCTATTCCAAGAAATGCAGTGGGATTCATAATTACGTGAGTATGACATGACTCAGTTGTACAGATGGAATTAATGCTGTCCTGAATTCAAAGACAACAGGAAATAAACATAGAAATGTGGTAGTGTCTGTATTAGGGAGCAAACAGCATCTACAGCAAATTAAAAGGGGAGCGCTCTAGGAAACATGGTCTGAGCAAAATGTTTTAAAATATAATAATATAACGGTAACATTTTCAAATGAAGGCCTCTCTCTAATTCAAGCCTGTTTCAAATAAAAGTCTGGTTCTCTCTTTTACTAATCTGTCATTTCTGTTTTCTTCCTCCTGTCCAATAAGTCCTTCCTAGACCGTGATCCTCTGACCACAGATATATACCTCTGGAGCTTTTTATGTCTGAGCTTGAAACACACACCACAGCTCGTCACACGTTCCTCTGTGCTGCTCACTGAGCACTGGACCACTTGGCTCTGTGTTTCTTGGTTGAGGAGGAAACAAGTGATGCTGATTAATTTGGCTGCTGCAGTTTATGTGCTGGCACTCATCAGCATGCTTCTTTCTGCTCTTTGACTTGTTGAGCCGTTTGCATTGTTCATTTAGACATCGACTCCAACACAGAAGCTTTTTGTTGTTGATGTTTTTAAGCATTTTAACTTTAATAAATGATTGTAGACAGAAGTGTGACATCCAATAGCCTACATGTGTCAATAATGTTTGGCCGATATGTTAACATTTTCCAATCAGCCATTAGCCCAACAACCAATGCTCGCCAATATATTTGCACACGTGGCCAACCCTGCGTGTGCAGTCGTGGTTTCAGCTGAGAGATCAGCTAGGAGGTAGAGCATCATGAAACACACTCAAACTCAACAGACACGAAATAAAACTCAACACCTTCTTGGTCAGCCTTCCCAACAACCACAAACTCTCACAACAATCTCAAACTCCGCAAATCAGCGATGGCCTAAATATTTGTACATTCACCTAACCCTAGTGTCAACAGTCCTTGTGTGTTCCATGATGCTTACACAAGCCCACTACTTCGGACCGGAGTTTGTGCTGACATTCATGGTGCCCAGATGATGAATTTCAATGACAAATGATTTGTCTTTGCTTTACAACCAAATGCCTAAACAAATAACGCCATTTCCACCAGTCTCCACTTTGTGTTTTGTGCTAATTTGCAAAAGCTACAATGATACACTACACTATAATGGTGTACATGGTAAACGTGACCTGTTACACATCAGCATGGTAACGCTGACATAGTGAGCATGTCAGCCTTTAATGCAAAGCACCACAATGCCCAAGTACAGCCTCACAGAGCTTTCAGCGTGGCTGTAGACTCTTATATGACTGTATAGCGTCCTAATAATTGCTCTAAATAAATTCTCACAGCTGGACGGCTGCTGGGTTCAGCTGTTACTAAGCTACAGATTACACTATTAGCTAGAGGAGTAAAGGAAGCTTAATTCCAATGCTGACAACGATGAGTTTGAAATGTCGACTTCCGCGATATATAAACTGTAGTTCTGTATTGTTTTCTGGCAAGTGGATACGTTAACAGTGGGATGATGCAGCCCAACACACTCATGGCTTGTCAAAGATGATCCCTTTCCATAGATTTTCTTTGATTTGGTTCACGATATGTTGTGTGGTGATGTACCTGAAAATCCTGCTCCAAACACAATGTTACTGTGGGAGGGGTGACGGTCCAGCACAAAATGCTGGTCAGGCGTCATCTGCAAAAACGACAAAACATGAAGAGTCAGATAAAATTGAAAGGGTTTGGAACCACAGGGATCTCACAGCCTCGACTTATGCCCTTGTTCGATAAAAGCAATGTAGCTTGTACATATTTAGTCAAGAGCGATACAATATTCTTTTTCCTGCCTCTTAATTCCACCATATGGAGACATGAATAGCGAACTGACGGAGAATTGCAGATTTTCCCGAGAACCATTAGACAAGGGCACACACATTCCCTCCCTCTCCATCAAAGTCAGAGCAGAAAATGTATTTAACTGGATAAAAGAGTCGAGCGCAGAATACATAATGAACTCTGACAAAAGGGAAAATGTTACCACAACTGTAGAGACACATGTAATTTAACTCTTTGTCCTCTATTAATAGTCCCTAGTAATGGAACAAAACACTTGCTGTTAAGTGAGAAAAGAGCGTGACTGTCAGGATTTTCAGGGGCATTGGACAAGGTCACAGAAATTATGTTTTCCTACAGCTTCAGTATGTGATCACGGTAAAAGCAGCTCGCTCTGTGTGTTGCTGGAGGGCAGAGCGGCTGCACAACCCCCACCCCCGCAACACACTGTATACTTCAGTGGCGGACCGTGCATTTTATACCTGGGCCTTCACTGCTGTCCTGCAGCTGAAACACAGCTACGGTTATTATTTGTTTTGTGTAAAAATTAAGTTCAACACCTTATAAATACATTAACTGCAGAGTGCAGATACATGAATACGCCGAGAGTGTGTCTCCTCTCTGCTCTGACTGCAGCTGGGACTGCTGCGTGAGGCTGCTGTGAGAGTAACAGCCTGCGAGTGCTTTGGGGCGGTTCACGACAGTGCAGAACGTAAGTGCTTTCACGTCAGAGTCAAAACACCAGAAAAGTCTCCAACACCACCAGAACAAGTCGATAGATTTGTTGCTAGTAGCTTTTGACAAAGAAAGTCGCCATGAGGGTTTGGAAAGTCGCCAGATTTAGCAAGAAAGTCGCCAAGTTGGCAACACTGGCACCAGCTAAATATGTCCCCAGAGCAACAATGGACGTAACAATAGTTCCTATCACATATAAAACCAAACAAAAATGCATCTTCATAAAAACAAGTTGTACAATTAATAAAAGCATATTAAAGCTACTGCAGATTACAAAAGCTGCTGTTCACTATTTAAAGACAAAATCCATCCTCCTTTCTTTGTTAATAAAGAGCTTAATCTGACGGTTGTTCAGTACATCCATGCGTTTTAGTTCCAGTAAGAAGTCCTTCTCGATTCATGGACGCCAGTGAAGACAGTCGAGCCTCCCCAGTTGTATTTCTTGAATACGTTTGAGGGCTGAAAATGTCCGCTCGACAGAGGCAGCAGATTTTGGGATCGTCACCGCCCAACATGTCACGCTAGCCCACTGACCAATCACGTATGACTAGGCCAGCTAGCAGGCTCCGATACGTCAAAGAATATGCCCAACATGTCAAACTAAAGATCTGATTGGTTGAAGACTATGACAATCAACAATATCGTCCCCATTCACTTAAACTGCACATGGATTCACTTGTGAGTCTGCAGGCCTCTGGCCTCTCTTCTTACCTAGAGACACAGAGGTGAAATCTGATTGGATAAAAGCTCTACTTAAAACAAGCTGCACTGGAAGCAGAGCAACTGAGGAAGACATTAGCTGTGCAATGAGAACATAAGATAATGGGGAAACTATTTTTATAAATTATAATACATGTAGTGCATTTAAGAAAAATTCTTAAATTATAAAATAGCTATAACTTTGTGATTCTGTTTAGGCCAGCAGAGAAGGCCTTGCTGGCCCTGACGGCCCACCACTGGTGTACATATCACTTGAGTCAGGAAACTTGTCAGAATACGCATATTTGATTGGCTGATTTGATTGATCATGTGATGTGATTTACAACACATTGGTTGGTGTGTTTCCTGCACCGCTGAACAAGTGCCGTAAATGCTAGAAAAGCTGCGCCGGTTAAAATAGAAGCGCTCCGTCTAAATGTAATAATTCTCAATTATCTATCGGTTTTAGGTCCTGGCTCCGGATACAACAGCGTCTGGTTCCGGATCCGGACCGCGGTCCGCCAATTAGTGACCCCTGCCCTAGATGCTCCCGGGGTGCTTTACAGCAGCCCACTGCTGCTAAAATGATTTCCTTCGTCCTAAAATATGTATGCTTTATGCAAATACCTAGGATGGGTTAAATGCAGAGGTCAAATTGAATGTTTGTACCTGTATGTATATGAAAATTGAAATACGGTTGAAGAACACACACACGCACACACACACACACAAAAGTAGTTACAGCCAGCTACTTATACACTTCATATTAACAGTTTAACTGCCGAATATGGAAGCCCATAGAGGGCTTTATTAAAATGATAATGTAAACTTGAAGATGAAAATGGCAATAGCATTATAAATTTCCACATATATGTGTTATTTGAGTAAATATTTTAATGAAAATGCAATAGATTGATGAATTAATATAATTAAGTAATACAGAGAAGAATATTCAAATGTCGATTCAAATTTGAAAATTAAAATGCAATATAAACAATGTAACTTGATTTCCATTCATGAAAGCATGGCCATGGCTTTGTAGCATCCCACTAAGTCGATGTAACATAGTCGGTAGAATTGCACACACTTGTCACCGACAAGTGTAGTGAGTGGTGGAGTGGGCACATGTATTAATATGAAATATGATGTGTATAATGGTGTTTCTACATTCGTTTATGGCTACCTGTGGGGGTGCGCCCAGCTAGTGAGATTTATAAAACAGAATCAGGCATATGTGCAGCTTTATAAATCTCGCAAAAGAATGCACATGCATATTTCTGTCTTTGTGCGTACAAAAGGTTAGAAGTTGTGAAACTAATATTTTATGCACCTGGCAATGATGCTGGGCACGTGTTGCACATGTCTGGAAAGTGATGGAGCTAAAAGGAAAGAGAGTTCTGCTAATAAAAAATGGAATATTGTTGAAGAGAAGACACTTTTGGAACTACCATCTTTTATTATTCCTGTATGATGCCTTCAGCTCAACAGAAAGAGCATTGATTGAAATATAAAGGCCTCTTATAGTACTTTATGTTAATCCATTGATATTACTCTAATCAGTCACCAAGAGCCAGAATCTTATTTCATGTTTCACAGTATTCTTTATACTTGCATACTAAAGCTGTTCTAGATTGTGCCGTTACTAATTTATTACTGAAACTGCAAGTGTATTACTATTAAAAACGTTTAGAATCAATACCTTTTATGTCAATATTTGTTTTATTTAATGTAATTCCTAAGTCTTAAACTACAGAAATGCTGACGGTTATCATGGGATGTCTTTAAAGACTAACTGCTCACTTAAACATGTTTTTAAAGCTATAAACTAAAAGATGTGACTGTACTGTGATTAAACACAGTACAGTCTTAACATTGACAGTTCTTACCAAATATATAGAAATCCCACAAACCCTCGACTTCAATATCTAAAATGGCTGCTGTGCGCATCAACAGTAAAAAGCTGTAGTAATAGGATTTCTATTATCACTTCTGTCTCATTACATTAGTCATACATACATACATACAGTACTTTCCAACTCCTATCAGTGAAAATGTTGCTACCCTGGATGAACGCCTAAAATACCGGCATAATAATAACCCCATTTGTAGTGCTGGAACGCAGTCAACTCGGGTGTGAAGTCATTCCCAGCTCCTAATTCTGCATTAGGCACCGACCTTGGGGTGAAGTTACACTTTAATTAACAAAATAGAAGCATTTGAAGTGTAAATATTACCTAAGGACTTTTAATTAATGTATCATTAAATAAGTCTTGCCAGTTTGTTGAATCTTTTGATGTTCTCTGATGACCCATAGAAGTCATTAAACTGCTGGACCTTCTGAGGCTAAAATCTCAATACTTTGATGTACTGTGATGTGGTGTGTGTAAACTGACCGTGTACATGCAGCTCTCCACCACAGCAGGTTCAGGGACCAGGCCAGGAAAACAGCGGGCAATGATGCGCTGGAGGATGTCAATATCAGACCTGTCTGTCTGCTTGTCTCTCTCGTCTGGGTCTGTCTCACCTCCAATATGGTAGCATATCTGCACACAGAATAACATCAATATTATTTCTATATGAAACGCTAAAAGCTCGGTAGCCCTGCCTACTTAGATGAATAGCAGCAGCAGCAGGCCAACGTTGTTCATAATATAACACCATCCAACCCTGACGGTGTTCTGTAAGGTGTATATTTTGGTGTTTATTGAATTTCTATAATTTCATGTTTTTGCATGCTTACTTGCATAAATACAGCATTTATTAATTTAGTATTCAGTCATCAAGGGTCTTTGTGTAATTTCTACCACCACCGTTTCAATCACAACAACGTCAGAGAGACTCAGCCTGGCACTCCTTAAGCACATTGTCCACTGTTCAAAAGAGCAGGTGCACCATGAGCTCTTCAGCAGCCCCTGTCAAGGATTATCATATCATGCAGGGAAGCAAAGCACAATTTAAAAGCTGATGTAAAGATGCCAATGAGTAATAATAATAATAATAATAATAATAATAATACATTTTACTTGTATTGCGCTTTAAAAAAGGTACCCAAAGAAACAATAAAAGCAATTACAATACAAACAAAAAAGATGGCATAACATTAAGGAACAACACAAAAACAAACATAACTAGCATCAGAGGTTAAAATAAGATTTAAATGGATGAGTTTTAAGTGCAGTTTTGAAAGTGGCAAGTGACGGGGAATGTCTGAGATGCTGGGCGAGAGAGTTCCAGAGGGAGGGGGCAGCAATGGAGAAGGCCTTCATTGACCCCTGTGTAATGACAGGAAGCAAAGAAGGCCATCTTTTGGTCTCTACACTGAGGGTGGAGAGCAAAGCTACTCGATATCCGTTTCTTTATCACCAACACATTCTCACTACCAACTCATCAAATACCAACACTCGGTCAGTGGCATTAAGCTTCAAACTATGACGCTCTAGGTTCCCCTCTAGAATCAGTTTAGGACATACCATGGACGGTGTGTCACTTTCCATTGTCTGCTCCTCGTTATGTGCATATTGTCTTTTCAAAATAAACTTCCGTATTCATGGGAAGTTTAGGTTTAGGCAACAAAACTATTTAGTCAGGTTTAGGAAAAGATTGTGGTTGACGTTAACAACTCACGAGACAACTGAGTGACTAACGACTCAGGTGACGAACCATGCTAACGAGTAACGGGACTAACGACTCACGTGACTAACAATACTGAAGAGTCATGTAACAACGTTGACTTTTAGTTTCATACATGACATACAGCGGCCTCCTGGGTGACAGTTTGTTTGACCCATCCATCCTCCCCTCCGCCCTACACTAAATCTATCACTCTTTATATTAAACCAGTTGCTCCGACTGTTCAATAATGACAGGGGTGAGTTAGTTGAAAGCCCGGTGTGTCTCATTCAGATACTAAAGGGTGTGTTGATATCAGGCACTGAGGGGCGCTGACCGAGCTGTAGCATTTCACGAGTTGTACTGACAACAGGAAGGTTGTGAATACTCTGAAATTCAGGAGTTCATGAGTTGTTAAACTACTGTATAATGAAATAAACATGCAAAAAATTAATAGAGAAGTGTTTTAATATGAGAACTAAATCTAAGTGATTGATGTTTCTCATGCCGTTTGTATCAGTCTTATTAAATGGTAAACCTCTATTTTATGATAATCTAAGAACCAAACAAGTCAAATTTCAGAAGTCAACCTATTGGAATACAGAGTGACAAAGGTGAATATCATATCTCCTTTTGGTCCGTTAGGGCAGTGTTTTTCAACCTTTTCTGAGCCGCGGCACATTTTTTACATTAAAAAGATCCCGCGGCACACCAACAACCGAAAATGTTACAAAATGACACCTTTTAGCATAATACAGCACACACACACACACACACACACACACACACACACAC